TTCACATTGTTTGCTTATTTTTTTAATTGGGTTTTTTGTTTTTGCTTGTTGAATTGTTTAAGTTCCTTGTAGATTCTGGATATTAGACATTTGTCAGATGCACAGTTTGTAGATATTTCTCCCATTTTATATGATGTTTACTGTGTTGCTAGTTTCTTTTGCTGTGCAGAGGCTCAGCACAGCAAAAGTTTAATGAGGTCCCATTTATCAATTTTTGGTTTTGGTTGCCATTGGTTTTGGCGTCTTCATCACAAATTCCTTGCCAAGCCCTATGTCCAGAATGGTATTTCCTAGGTTTTCTTCCAGGATTTTTATGGTTTTAGGACTTACATTTAAATCTTTAACTCATGTCAATTTATTTTACATAAATCATGAAAGGCAGCGGTTCAGTTTCATTCTTCTGCACATGGCTAGCCAGGTATCCCAGCACCATTTATTAAATATGGAGTCTTTCTCCATTGTTTATTTTTGTTAATTTTGTTGAAGGTTACATGGCTGCAGGTGTGAAGGTTTCTGTCTGAGCTCTCTATTTTGTTTCACTGATATAAGTGTCTATTTGTGTACCAGTGCCATTCTGTTTTGAGCACTGTAGCCTTATATTATAGTTTTAAGTTGGGCAATGTAATGCCTCTGGATTTGTTTTTTTGTTTGTTTGTTTGTTTTTTCTTATAATTGTTTTGGATATTTGGGCACTTTTAAAATTTCAAATAATTTTTAGACTACAGTTTTCTAATTCTGTGGAAAATGACATTGCTATTTTGATAGGGATAGTGTTGCATCTATAAATTGCTTTTAAAAGTATGGCCATTTTAGCTATATTGATTCTTCCAACCCATGAACATAAATTATTTTTTTCATTTATATGAGTTTTCTCTGATTTTTTTTTTGGCCATGTTTTGTAATTTTCTTGGAAAGATCTTTCATCTCTTTGGTTAGATGAACTACTAGGCGTTAGATTTTCTTTGTGGCTGTTATAAATGACATTGTGCGCTTGCCTTCATTCTCAGCTAGAATGTTATTGGTGTATAAGTATGCTCCTGATGGTGTACGTTGGTTTTGTATCCTGAAACTTTACTCAATTCATGTGTCAGTTCTGGGAGCCTTTTGATAGGCTCACTATGTACGAAATCACATCATTGGCAAAGAGAGATGTTTGACTTTTTCTTTTCCTATTTGTATACCCTTTCTTTCCTTCACTTGCCCGATTGCTCTGGCTAGAATTTTTCTGTGCTCAGTTTACTCTGGTTTCAATCAAATAGGCTATAGAGAGCAGTTTTCTGTCCTGTGATCAACAAGTTCATTAAAAGATTCTGTACCTGTTGTAAGACAAAGTTTCTCCTCTTTGGAAAAACTCTGTGGGCACTCAGGGGAACACACATATTTCCAACTTCTGCCCATCTGGGAAGTCTCCAGCCACAGTACCGCCACCTTCAGGCCTCTTGGTGTTCCAGCCTCCCCTGCAGCTCTCCTTTTACACCTGGAGTTTTTCTTCTGAGCCCATTCACTCTCCCAACTATCTCATTGAATCATTCAGTCATTCCTTCAGCCTCCAACCAACACTTAAATCGTGTCAGGCTCACTTGGTGATACAGAGAAGAATCATCCTCTGTGGCTCTGAGAAAAGACTCTAGATTCCTCGTAAGTGGGTCCTGGGTCCCCCTGGTTGCTGGAGGAGGTGGTGAGGACCCTTCATGGATGGGGAGGTGAGTGAGGTCTGGGTGGGTACAAGTGCCAGGCTGAGATGGGGAACTAAAGGATGTGACTTGGGTGGTGGGAGTGAATCATGAGGGTAGGGGTGGGAAGCGTCTGGTGAGCCCCTGGGTGTAGGTGAGTGTCTGTAGCAAAGTGCAGGGGGAAGGTAAAGGACAGGGAACCCTGGTGGTGCTAGAGCGTTTGTGTGGTAGAGGGTGTGTGAGAGCAGACTGTGTGGTTGTTGGGGTGTCTGTTGTCACATCTTTGCTGGATCTCCCTCCCTAATTTCTCTCCTTTATTTTCACCCCTTCAAAGAGCCCCAGGTTTGTGCAGAGGCCACAGCCTGGACTCAGAGCTCTACCTCTCATCAGAGTGGGCCTGGCCTTTGCTGACTGCAGGGAAGGCAGGGCTCATAACTGAAAAAGGAAACCTTCCCTGAGTCCTTAGCATGTGCAAAGACAGGGTTCCTGGCATGATCTGCTCATTTCCTATGTGTTCATAGCATTTGTTAATTTCCACACGTGGACATCCATGCTTAGAAAGCTGAAGAATATTCAGCACAAGAATGTCCAGCCACAATGTCAGCTGACTTCCGTGTCTGAATGCATGATCTCTAGATCACAGCCATTACAGTCACCTGTGGCCATTCCTATCCCCATCCTGGGCTGGCCTGAGTCAGAGGCTCCTCCTCCTGTCACCTGGCTCTCCTGCTCACATCTCTCCTGCCAGCCTCCTTCTGCCTTCCTGCTGTTTCCTCAGTCACTGACCCAGGTCACCCAGCTTCAGGGGTGGGGCTGCCAGGGCCTTCCTAGTGGCCTCCTCCCAGAACTAACCCGGGCTCCTATCCCCAGCCCTATGCATGGGAGGCTCTTCTCACACAGATTCCTGGACCTGCCAAGCTCTGCCCCTCCCAAGTCTGAGAACTGCCCACCCCCACCCAATATGCCTGTTGTCCTCTGGACCACCCTCCATGTGGCCCCTTCTGGACAGATGCTCTAGTGCATCAGGCAAGAACCTAGGTTCCTATGTCCCTGATCAGTCACAGAGGTGGCTGCCCTCCCATGCCCCTGTCCTGAAGCAGAGACAGGCCCTGGGCTTGGTCCAGGCCTCTTCCCCTTTCCCACAACTTCAGGACCCTGGGGACTGATGGTCACCAGATGCAGGTCCTCCCCACACGAAGACTGTGCGGAGTGGGAGCTCAGTGTCTCTCTCTCTCTCTCTCATTTAATGGGGAAAGAGCCGAGTGGCTGGGAGCAGAGTGGGACTCAAGTTCTCTGCCCAGTCCTCACCCAGGCTAAGCCCTTCCCGGCAGCCAGGGGCCATTGCACGCCCCCACCTCCTTCCTACTTCTGCCCACAGTTCCAGATGCCTTCATGGCTGCTGAGATGAAGAAGATGTGCTGGGGATTCCTTAGTTGTGTGTAGATGAAGTGACCACAGGGATGAGCTGCATGGAGAGGGGCTTAAGCTGCAGAGTCAGGCCTGGGCGACCATCGGTGGCTGTGCCCTAAAGTGAGCCCTAGATGGAAGCAGAACCCTCTCTCAGCTCCTGTGCCCATGGAAATCCAACCCTTCACAGATCTGAGTCTCATCTGGATTAGGCCATATATTTAGAAAATGTTGAAGGGACTCTGGGCCTGAGGTACTTCAGTCTCTAGAGGGGTCTGGGGGTTGCCTGCAGGGGAGGAGGGGGCAGAAGAAGCTGCCTGAGGCTGAGAACAGAGGGGGAGAGGGAACTATCTGGAGGCCCTGGCTTGGGAAGGTGAGGGGGAGGGGGAGGGGGAGGAGGAGGAGGAGGAGGAGGAGGAGGAGGAGGAGGAGGAGGAGTGGGGGGAGGAGGAGCTGTGCTGCATTTGTGGAGGTATTCACTCCTTTACATCAGTTTCTGAAAAATAAGTTTTTCTTGAATTTCTTGATGTGCTTTTTAAATAGTATGAAAACATGAAAAAAAAAATAACTATAGTCATTGCAGCGCAGTCCAGAGAACTTCTCTTTCTGCCACTTCAGAGTGAGCTGTCACCCTGGTGTGCCCTCCACCTTTAATGATGTCATCTGATGCCCCATCTTTCAGTGTTCTCCCTCCAAACCAGGACGCTCTCCTAATAACCACAATATAATCACCAAAACAGTTTCACATCCATACAAGACACCACCTCATGCTCACGCTCGACTCAAGGTTCACCAATGGCTTCCATAATGTCTGTTACAGAGATCTGAGGGATTAGGCATTTCCTATCTCATTTTGCTGAAGGTACAGGTGATGGTATTTTATTTGCACCATTTGTTGATCTGTATATTTTGGAACATATGTGGAGAAATCTAGATTGATGAGGTTACTATTTGTATGTGTCACTCAGAAGTCATTAATATATTTGAGACTCAATATTTTCCATCAGCATTTTGGTTTAATTTTTGCTAGTTCAAAGTGTCTAGGTTGATACAGACTAAAATAGAAACCTTCATCAAACTTGCAAAGTCTGGAGCTCCTTGTGGTCTAGAGATACACCCTACACATCTGGCAGGTGGCCAGCCAGAGGGTGAGTTTGAGCCCCGTGCTCACAGGGGCTTTTTGGTATCATCTTCAAACTTCAGAAAAGACACAAATGTTGGTTTAAGAGGTGGAGGAGAATCCGGATCACTTTTTTCAGACAATCCGTCTTCAGTCATTCCACTGCACTAAGGAACCTGTTTTTCCCCTTGAGCCCCAACCCTGGTGCCTGCATCTTGGACCAACCTCCTCCTCCTTTGTCACATCACAGAGTCAGCCCAGGCCCTGCACCTGACCAAGGGTGGAGAAAGGGGCCTGCGGGACTGAAGCTGGGAGTGATGGGCCTGCTCCCTCTCTCAAGGCCACTCTACCATCTGATGAGAGGGCCTAAAACATGGCAAGGGGTCGGGGAGCCTGTCCAAAGAGAGGGTTCTGTATTCCTGTGCCCTTGGCCTTGGGTGGGCCTGCAGGCAAACATCCCTCCTTCCCCTTCTTCCTCAGCCTCTCCTCACAATGGGAGCAGCACCCGTAGCTCTGAAGGTGACAGTCCCTGTTCCACGTTCTTCATTCCTAGTCCAGCCCAGTGGTGCCCATGGAACTCCAGCAGCAGCTCAGTTTCCCCGTGTCTGAGTCCACTCTGCTCCAGGCAGAGCCATCAGCCAACTCAGAATCTGGGATGCCCAGAAGGCAGGATGTCAGGGAGCCGCCTCAGGGCCCGGATTCAAACCCCATGGGTCCACGGGACTGACTTTTTTAAAAACCTTCTCATGATCAGCCTCTACTTTTCACCTGCCACCTTAATTCCTGGAACCCAAGCCACTTTCTGTGGGAAGGCAGCCCTGCACTCCCTCCTTTTGAATTAGGTGTACCAAGGTCTCCCAGCCCCCTCCTCCTAGGATTAGACCCAGATCTTTCTCTTAGCCTCAGAGATGGAATCCCCCTTCCCTTGTCACGCCTCATGTAAAGTTGCCATGATGCACCTAACCCAATTAAGAGGACTGCCCAAGTCTAAATTCCCGCTGCCTGCAGGCACACACCCTGAATAGGATCCTGCTCTGAATCAGGCCTGAACTGGCTAAACCCTCTCAAGTTCAACAGGCCCTGAGCCTTGATAAGGGCTCCTCCCTTTCTCTCTGGCCTCTGAAGGTGACAATCCATCAGAACTCAGGGCAAAGCTGCCCAGATCATTACCAACAAGTGACACAAGGTCTCATTCACCTGTCTCATTACAGGATGGAAAGTTCCCGGCCATGGGGAGGGGTGGGACTGTGGGAATTCTCCTTTCTTGTTTTCCCACCTCACCCATCTGCTCCTTGGTCCCTTCCCAATTCTTCCCACAGTACCTGTCACTCCTCAGATGCCAGGTAGGATGAAACCAGCAAGCCCCTCACATTCACAATACAGCCCTCACAGCAAGCTCCAGGGGCCATGCATTTATGTGGGGAAGTTGGAAAAAAAGCATCACACTTGCTGTGGGGTTGGCGGGTTTATTTAAAAATAATAAGTAGGATGAAGCAGGGGAGGAAGACGAGGAGGCTCCAGGTGCTGAGGGTTGTGGCCCTGGATTTGGGTTGGACTGTGCCTGGCGTCATGGAGGGTGGAGCTGAAATGAAAACACAAGCCTCACAGCCCTTGTCCAGACCCCAAATTAGAGGAGATGCCTCCTCAGCTCCTGCCACCCCAGGTCATCCTGCAAGGCAGAGGTTTTGTCCCACTTTGCTGGGGGGCAGCGGCTGTGACAGGTCCTGGGGTAGGAAGGGAGAGGGGGTGTTCCCTGTCTTCAGGGATCTCACACAGCTGCTGAGGGAAGCAAGGTGACAGCACAGCCCACCCTCCTGCTGTGGCGGAAGAGGAGGTGATGCCCCAGAGTGGGGAAGGGGAGGGTCTCAGGGCTGGCACTGGAGGTTGTTTTGATAGATTTCCAGAAATAGATCAGGGAGAGAAAAGGAAAAGTGATTCTATAAGGAAGGAACACTAACATTAAAAATGTGGAAACACTATGACACCCACAGATTCGAGGCTGGTGAGAAATCCACAGTGGGTGGAAAAGAATTAAGTGCAGGGAGGAAGAGGAGTCAGGAGGGAGAAGGGAGAGGAGGATGGGTGAGCACAGGCGCCCCCAGGAGGGCCCCCCATGAGGGAGTCACGCTCACATTCACTCCAACAGTCACACACACTCACACACACACTCACACAGCAGGTTGAGAAGATCTGAACTAAAGAGAGCTGTCTTTTTTCTCTTCTCACTTACTTGTTTTCTCCAGTATTTGTTTCCAGTATATCAAAAATTTTTCAAGCCACATCTTACAATCCCCCGTTGAAATTCTCTGGAAGAACATGGTCACATAACTGTTCTTCTCCCACTTCTCTTTCAACTGTCTGGCTCCAGGATGAAACACTGTCCAATTTCTGTTGTTTGAGTCAAAGAGGAGAAACCTCTGTCCATTGAAGATGAACTGCCAAAATGCTGTGCAGTATCCATGGGCTTTGTGCTCACAAGACATCTGGGCCTGCAGGGTGAGGGGCTCTGCCCCGTTGGAAAGAGATCAGCTCTAATCTTGACAAATCCTGAGCCCCGCCCTGCTTCCTTTACTGTCTCCTGGACTTGCTCTCTCTGCTCCATCCTGCCCATACTCCTCAACCTCTTGGGTGACACAGACTTCTGATTGATTCTTTCTATGAAACCAATAACTGCCTCCAAGTTACTACTGTGTCTGCTCCCTCCTCTCCTGGGCCATTTTAAACTTACCACTGGGTATTACATTCTCCATTTGAATGTTGGGCAGTTGCTCTTTGAGGAAATCCACCACATCTCTTAGTGTTTCAGTCTGTTCTTCCCAGGTTTTTGTAACATTGACTTTCTTCCCCAGGGAACCAAAGGCTTTTGCCTTATGGTTAACACAGTCATAGTGAAGAAAAGCCCTTTTATCCATTTGGCCTTGAACTTTACACCACCGTGGTTCAGGTCTGAACTTAGGAGTGATGATGAAGTCATAGGAGAGATGGTGTGTGTCTATGGAAGAAAAACAAGAGAGGGTGGGTGTGGGGGAAGTGGAACCTAAGATCCCTCTTCCCTGATGTGGTGACTACAGGAGGAGTCCTCTGAGAGGCTGGGCTGGCAGAGGAAGATGTCCCCCAGCCAGGGCTGTCATGCCAACTAGTTGAAGACTAGAGCATCTCCCTTGCTTGGGTACACAGAGGGGAAGGTTCCTGCAGCCAAAAAACCACATGCCCCCCAAGACATATCCCACCTGGGTTCTGCCCATGTCGGTCAGCACATGACCTTGTCATGGAGGTGCCAGGCCTGCTGTGGCAGGAAAAGGCCTGGATAAGGAGGAGGCTTAGCAGCAGCCCTTGTAGACTGCGGGAGGTGGGAGGAGGTGTGGGGGCTGCCCTAGGATGCTCCAGCACAGTGGGTGGGGTGAGGACCAAATTCAATTTGGATACAGAAGTGACTATTGCCATGTGTCCCAAGATTTAACACACTGGGAAAGCTCCTGGCAATGATGCCCATCTGCAATGAGGATGCATTTCTGGAACCTTGGAAAGGGATGGTTCCGAGGGCAAGAAGTTGAAAATCCACAACTTCTAAGCCAGGGTGTAGAGGAAAGAACCAAAAGGCTCAGAGAAGCACCCATGACAGAGTAGCCGCAGCATGAAAATCCAGAACATTGTCCATCCTCTGTGCTCATGGGGAGCCTGGAGGACTCCTGTTTACCCAGGATATAAAGAAGAGCCTGAGAGAAGACAGCAGAATCGGAAGAAGCTCATGGGTGCCTGTTGCTGAAGGCCAGGGTTGGGGGTAGGAGATGCTGTTCCTGAAATGGGCTCCCAGGAGTAATGGGATGAAAAATCCTGAAATAACAGATTTCAAGTGGAGGCTGTCAACTGTCAGGAGCAAGGAGGGTGCCATGATGGAGATGATTAGGGAAGTCACAATGCCAACTGAGGACTTCAGCCACAAGGAGCTATGCCCATGACATAAAACAAGGGTGTCCAAGAGGCAAAATAGTTGGAGACTCAACCTGGTTACTCTAGGACTTTAACAACAATAAATAAAGACAAACACAGCAGTGGAAAATTGGGAGATGAAAAGTGGACATTTCATTTAAAAATTGAGATAATTTGTTGAATTTCCTGCACTACACCACTTCTTAGACTCAGAATCCATTGCTAGAAACAGAATCCAGGTTCCTATGAGGAAAAACCTATTAACCCCACAGCAAGTGTGATGCCTCTTTTCCAACTTCCCCGCATAGATGCATGGCCCCTGGAGCTTGCTGTGAGGGCTGCATTGTGAATATGAGGGGCTTGCTGGCGACACAGCTCCTGTTGTTACTGCTAAACTCTGCTGCTGCTGCTGCATCTCGGTGACAGACAAACCATGCATGATGAGTGTGGTTGCACCTATCACCAGAGCCCTACGACACAGGACACTCTAAGATCCTAGAAGCCCCTGTGTTTAAAAAAAGTTTTATGTGAAGTTCATGGCAGTTCCTAACTGGAGAATCCCGATGCCCAGAAGCAAGGTCTTGCCACTTGGAGCAGTGAAATAAATCCCACCATTTAAAAGCAGTTCCTGTGAAGTCCTGAGCCCTGGCAGAGATGGGGTCTCCAGCGACAGGAGGGCAGTGACCGCACAGCCTCAGAGCTGCCATCACAGGGTGTGCTCCTCACCCTCTAGGTCATTAGGAAGGTAGGCCCGGCTGTGAGAAGACGCAGGTGGTTCTCCTGGGATGGACAGGAGCAGGGCCACAGGGAACCGAGAAGCTGCAGAAGCAGTTGGCCCCGATCCCCAGGATGCCACATGGCTGTACCCCCTAACCCTCAGCTTACACTTGAGGATTCAGGGAGGATCCCTGATGGACCCTGTGGATCATAGATGCCACTCAGCAGCAAAGTAGGGGAGAGTAGACCCCGAACCATGGGACCCCGACTCCTGTAACATCCATACCACCCAGAAGCCACAGGGAAAGTAGGACCCGCTTCTGACTCTTGAATTCACACCTGGACACTGCTTGGAGATGGCATTCTAGGGAACTGGGTCCCAATCACTGGGACACTGTAATCTCATGGAGGGACAGAAATAAAGGACAGTGGCCAAATCTGGTCCCCTTTCATTTACAGGTTGCCATTGTCTGCTGTTGCTCTACAAAGGGACAGCACTGGACACAGAGACAGAACCTGAAAGACCAAAGTGCCTCCTGCCTTCTTTTTCTAGAAAGGCCTTGCTGACTCCTGTCTGCATGTGGCAGGCCAATTCCCCCTGACAGTCACACAGACAGGCCTGCACGACACTCCGGTTACACAGACAGATTTCCACAGCACTGCCTTAACACTCAGCAAGTAAACCCAGGGAAATCGGTGCCCAGACATCAAAGCTAAAAATGAAACATGTGGTCAATAGGAGCCTTGCATGGGCTTCTCCCTGACCTGGAGCAAGCCAAAACAATAGAGACAGTCTTCATTCCTAGTGCCAGGACCTGTATCTGAGACAAGCCAAGGTAGCAGGGGCAGTTGTTTGAATAGGTTCATTGGAGAGTCTAAGGCAGCTCTCCTGACCAAGCTGTAAAGGAGATAAGATAGAAATAATCACCCTGGTACAACAGCAGACAGGCGATGAAGGTACTGGTGCCCTTTTAATCAGACTTAGTGAGCATTTTTGCCTCTGACCTTCTAGGTGTAATAAAATTAGTTCCCAGCAGACTTAGGTGAAAGCTACACTGCACATAGGCACATAACCCCAACCTATGTAAGCACTAAGAAAATGGTAACACTTTCAGTTGGTCTGGTAGAATTATCTCTGCCTTCTCCCTCTATCTGGTTACAGCAATAAATTCCCTTCTTTCCTAGTTTGTCTGCTTCTCATTATTTGGCCTTGGGAAAAGGCAGCCAGACAGGCTTGGCTCCGGGAACATGCACAGTGACTCTTCTCTAGGAGGCCGTCTCCCCAGTAGGAATCAGGTGGCTCTGGGACCCAAGGGCAGAAGTGGGTGCCTCTACTCGCCAGGGTTCCCAGGGTCATCATGGGGGACATGGTGTGTCCCATTTCCCCTGCACAGGTTCTGTGGGGAGTTAGGTATGTGTTTGCTGGGTGTGTCCTTGGGCAAAGGGAAGAAGGTGCCAGTTGGTGGGGGAGGTGGTGAGGGAGGCATGGGGGTGACAGGGCGGGGCTGAGGTGGGAGTGAGAGGATGTGACCTGGGAGGTGGCAGTGGATGTGAGGGAGGGGTGGGAAGTGTCTGCTGAGCCCCTGGGTGCAGGTGAGCGTCTGCAGGAAAGTGCAGGGGAGAAGGGAAGGAGCCCTAGGGGTGCTGGAGGATTTGTATGTGGAGAGCGGGTGAGAGCAGAGCAGGCCTGTGGCTGGTGGGGGTGTCTGTGATCTTGTCCCTGTGGAACTCATTTTTACACGTGTCCCGACCCCAGCTCAGGTTGCGGGGTCTCTGGTTTCTTCTTCCCGAGGGCAGGTGGGACTGCTGGGCTGCACTAGTGTGGCTAACCCCCTATATAGGCACCGAAGAATGACAGCTAAGCAGAACCCTGGCACAGTTAGGGCTTGAGGAATAGCTCACTTTATAGTGTTACTACTCAGCTATTTCCTTTTATATAATCCTTTACATAATCATATATTAGTTTATAGAAATAGGGCTTGAAGTCTCCCTTTATATAATCGTCTATATATAATCATTAATAGTTGATAATATGAGTGCCTAAAGAATATTTCCCTACATATATACCTATAATTATATCTTAGTTTATAATTGGAGGAATGCCTAGAGTGGACACAGTACAGGGCATGAATTAAGGAATAAGCAGCTTATAATGGGAGAAATGCCTAGAGCAGACACAGTGCAGAGCGTGATTTAAGGGAAAAACAGTTATACCAGGACAAGAATCCATGGCCCAGCCACCAGCGTTCAGTATCGTAAAGATACTCGTTGTATTGCAGGCTTGAGGCCAGAGCCACTCCTCCTGATAAAGGAGTTGTAGGACCTTGCTCCAGTTCTTGTGGAAGGCTGCCCTCAGAAAGGCAATCCACCTTGGTGACTGTGAACTTTATCAGCTCTTGCTACTGTGCTGCTTGAAAAGCATCTTCCCATAGAACCCATAGAACCCACTGGAAGCTGCCAGAAGGTGGCGGTAACCTTGACAGCTCTGTCACTGCTATGTGACTTAAAGCATCCTCCTATAAATCTTCTTAGACGTGGTTTCCCATAGATAGAAGTATCGCACACTGCACCCACTTCACTGCGCACGGCCCACCTTCAAGCCTCGGTGACCTAATGGGGGTGGACCCCTTACTGCACAGGGCCCTTGCCTTCGTGGGAACGGGCCCCTTGCTGTGCACTGTGCACCTCCTGGCCTAGGTGACCTAATGCGGGTGGAACCCATGTTTTATTGCTCAAGACCCTATCACTATCCTTAAAGATGATTTCACTCACTGCCCTGCCCCCTAACCTATGCACAATGAGTATTCATGCTTCTGGACATTGGGGCCTCGCCAGCCTCCGCGCGCCAGCCTCCGCGCGCCAGCCTCGCCTGATTCCGCTTATAGGTGGTGTGCCCCGCACCCCCAGCCCAGCTGCATTTTCTTTGTACTTTGTATCCTGTCTCTTTATTTCTCGGATCCTGCGCCTCAGCACACCATAAGGCTCACCCCATGACCCTGTGGGGCACTCAGCCTTACATCTGCCTCCCAACGTGCCCCACACACTAGGGAGCCCCGCCCCACCTCGCCCTCTGCAGCCCTCTGGCGCCCCCACCCTCCTGAGGGTCCTTTCCCGCCTCCTCTCCGCCCGGCTCCTCGCCCCTGAGGTGGGGAGACGCAGCAGCGGGGAGCCGACAGGGCGGGAAGGAGCCGCGGAGCTAACTGAGCCGCGGCGCGGGGAGATCGCGCTCTTCCTTCCAGAAACCTCCCCTCCTCTGAAACCTGCTGCAATTCGCAGCCCCCCAGGTTTGGTCCCCGCCTGGCTTAGGCTCCACATCCGAACTCACCTGCCCGCCCCGCCCCGGACGGGCAGCACAGCAGGAGGATAAGCAGGTAGCACTGAAGGACCGCGGGGCTGGCGGATCCCGACATTTCGGATCTGAATCCAAGGGACGGAAGACGCGGAGCCCAGCGGAGCGATCGCATGGCGGCTGGCAGGCTGGCTGTATTGCCCGGCAAGGCCTTTCAAAACTCCAGCCACTCCGGCACGTGTTCTGCCCCGCCCCTTGGGGGGTGCGCCCAGCCAATCCCCACAGGCGCCCCACCCTGTCAACTCCGTAGCAACAGCAAGGAAAACCCTGCCTCCTGCCCTCGCTGCTGCTTGAGGTTTTCGCTGCCTGCCAGTGCCGGAAATTCCAGCACCGCCTTATGTATTGACTACACTATTTTTTTTCCAGGACCGCCTCGTGTAGTGACCACAGTATTTTTTTTTCATTGTTTATTAACCCAGTGTGAACATTGATGCACAGAAAGGTGGAGAAAATGCACTGCAGTGTTCAGCGGCGACGGGGTCTCCCTGTCCTCGCCTGAACCAGGGACACCCGCCTTCCCTTTCCCTGCGCTGCGGAGTGACCGCCTCCCCGCCCAATGCACAGCCCCAGGCCCCGTCCCATCCCCGCAGCCGCTGCCCAAATCCCGAGTGGACGTGGTTATAGCCCGGGTAGATTTGTTTGTTTGTTTGTTTGTTTTTCTTGGTGACTCCGCCCAGGCTGGAGTGCACCGGTGCGATCTGGGTTCACTGCAACCTCGGCCTCCTGAATTCAAGGGATTCTCCTGCCTCAGCCTCCGGAGTAGTTGGGACCACAGGTGTGCGCCCCCAAGCCCGGTTAATTTTCATATTTTAGTGGCGATGGGATTTCACCACGTTTCCCAGGCTGGTTTCGGACTCCAGGGCTCAAGTGATCAGCCCGCCTGGGCTCCCGAAGTACTGAGATGACAGGGGTGAGCCACTGCGCCTGGCCCGGGGCTAGATTTTATTCCAGAAGCACCAGGCTTTCAGAGGCTTCAAACAACGTATTTTTCACTAAACAATGGTTAAGATGGTAAATGTTATGTTCTACGTTTTTATAAAAATTAAACAGCTTTAAAAAATTCTCTTAAAAATGTATGTCTTGCTTGGATCTGTCCAATGCGATTGGCAAAGACTCTGCTCATTAAGATCGAGGACAGCATTAGGACCTTGTATCTAAAATCACAACCAGTGAGACACTTTGCAGATTTAGAAAGCACATCAGAGAGATTGGCCCTGAGCTCCCCTTAAAACAGCACCGCCTTCCACCCCCACCCCCACCAGGTCTGGGGATGGTCCAGGGGGCTCAGCAGAGCAGGTTCAAGTGAAAGTGCCTCATGGTTCCCAACTGCCAGTGCTTGCTTTTGGCCTGTTCCCCCTGGGCAAGGGCCAGCCATCCTTCAAAGCTGGGCACAAGTACCACCTCCCATGTCTGTCCCTCAACTTTCCACAAGAAAGAGCACCCTCCTGCTCCCTGAGACCTGGATCCACAGTGAGTGCATTCAGATCTCCCTGTGTGATAATTGCTCACACACATTTCTTTGCCTCTCTGCTAGAAGCATGAGGTCCTTGAGAATATGCTAGATTTCTTTACAGCTTTTGAGGGAAGAAAGCCCTAGTGGCCTACTGTTGCTCAATCAGAATGTGATCAATTGTGTTTCCCTTGGGAGCAGGAGGCGAGGGAGGGGTCTATGCATGTGTGGGGCTCACTTTGCACACCCATCCGTGGCCAACCACACCTGATTCCATGGCTGTACCCACACCTCTGCTTAGTCCATGGATGGTCCCTGCAGCCATCCTCAAAGGGAAGCCCCAAATGCATCCTTGTCTTAATCATCATGAAGGCATCTGGAAGTGGTGGCAGAAGCCAGAGGGAGGTGAGAGGTCTAGTGGCCCCTGGCAGCTGGGAAGGGCTTAGCCTAGGGTGAGGACATGACAGAGCCCCTGAGTCCCACCCTGCCCCCAACCACTAGGGAACATCCTCCCTCCTCTTCTCCCTGAGCCTCTCCTCACCCTGGGAGCTGCACCCACAGTTCTGAATAGGACTGTCCCTGCCCCGCCCCATCCATTCCTGGTCCAGCTCAGCAATGACCTTGGAACTCCAGCAGCAGTTCAGCATCCCTGTCTCTGAGTCAGCACAGCTCCAGGCAGGGCCAGGATCCGGAGTGTATGGGAGGCCGGATCCAGGGGCATTGTCCCAGGACTAAGCTATATTCCTAGGGGGTTCCCAGAGATCTGGCCTCCTACTCCTAGACAGCCTCTTCAGTCAGCCTCCGCCTCAATGGCTGCTACCCAGGCACTTTCCCTGGGAATTACCTCCAGCATTTTCCCCTGGGTCGTCACAGTCCTTGGAAGCCTCTCGTTCCTGGGGTTATACCCCGTGCCTCTGCTCTTCTCCAGTGAATGGAATCTCCTCCTTAATCCCAGGAGGAGGAGGCTGGGAGACCTTGGTACACCTAATTCAAAAGGAGGGAGTGCAGGGCTGCATTCCCACAGAAAGTAGCTTGGGTTCCAGGGATTAAGGTGGAAGGCAAAGAGTAGAGGCTGCTCATGAAAAGGATTTTTTAAAAGTCAGGCCCATGGACCCATGGGGTTCGAGTCCGGGCCCTGAGGCAGATCCCACAGTTGACCCATGTAACAAACCTGCACGTGTACTCTTTAATCTATAATAAGAGTTGAAATTAAAATGAATAAAGAAAATAAAATGACATGAGGCAAAAAAAAAAAAAAAAAAATGGGTTTAACTGACAGGAGTGAGAGAGAACCCGGCACTATGAATTCTAACCCTGCTCTAGGCCAGGAGCCATGGCTTAGGCCTGTAATCCCAGCACTTTCTGAGGCCAAGGTGGGTGGATCACCAGGTCAAGAGATGGAGACCATCCTGGCCAACATGGTGAAACCCTGTCTCTATTAAAAGTACAAAAATTAGCTGGGCATGGAGGCTTGCGCCTGTAGTCCCAGATAGCTGGGAGACTGAGGCAGGATAATTGCTTGAACCTGGGAGGCAGAGGTTGCAGTGAGCCGAGATCACATCACTGCACTCCAGCCTTGGTGACAGAGTGAGACTCTGTCTCAAAAATAAATCAATATTTAAAAAATAAATAAACTCTAGTCATTTAAAATAATCTTGAGGTATATAATCATAATCTTATAAAAATTACGTATGATTGTACCAAAACCTTAACATTAAACACTGTGTATGGAATTTCAGATGATTTCCACCTTGTTCTTCATAGCCTTCTTTTTTGTCCTATTTTCAAGTAACATTTTTCATTTATCCTCCGGAAGTCATTGCTTCCAGGCGTTTCCTTCTGCATCCACCCCCTCCTTTTCCACTGTCCACCTCAGCCCTTCCTCTGGCCTGGGACTGTGGCTTCCTTGGCACTGAAGGCACGAGAGCTGCATTCAGCCTCGGGAGAGAGGATGCAGGGCAGGCTGGTCCTGCCTGCGTGGTCTGGGCATTGCAGAGGAGCCTCCCAGCTCAGGTCCTCTACCGCAGACGGCTGCGTTTCTCCACCACGTTAGCCACACCAAGCCAACCTTGCCCCTTTTCTGATTGGCCTTTTTCTCACTTTTACCAATTCCTACTTGAAAATTCATATTTTGGGTTAGGCGCGGCCACATATTCGGCTACCGGGCTGAGGTGCAGGCTGGAGCTCTGGCTCGGGCTCCCAGCTGCGAGTTTGGCTGGCCCCGCGCCCCTCCCGCCAGGCAGGCCATGCAGGGCCCTGCCCGCCCGTGAACTCGAACTGTGGAATGCCAGGCGGGCCGCCCTCCACAGTCATGTCTGGGAGGGTGCTCGTGCACAGTGTGGGCATCTCCCCGCAGGGGCTGTTCAGCGGCGTGGCCTTCAGCACGTTCATGCTCAAACGCTTCAGAGAACCAAAGCAGGAAAGACGTCCGTGGAGGATTTGGGCTTTAGACACTTTCAAACAAGCCACAGGAACGCTGTTCACCCACTTTGCAAAGGTATACCTAGCAGATTTCTATGAGGACCCTTGTTCACTGTGCCTCACAGCTTCCTCCTTGGAGCCACCGTGGGCAGGCCGCTCCTGTCCGTGGGGTGCGCGTCCCCAGCGTCCCGATGGAGTGGCAGCCTTGGGAGTCCCTGCGCTTCGGGGAACATGGAGACCCTCTGCAGTGTGGAGCCTGGGTCCGGCAGTGAGCTCTTTACATCGTGATCTTGATTTTTGAAAAATCTGTCGTCTTCATCACCCTTCTAATACTTCAGTGGAAAATGGTGGCCCTGTTGAATCCCATTGAAAACCCAGACTTGAACTGGCCAGCATCATGTTGATCATCCGCTTCCCACCATTGACCCATGTAACTTTGTCAATGCTTTGATGTTTTGGGTAGTGGACACTTTCCTTATGAGAAAGGGGAAGACGAAAGCTAAGCGACAAGAAAGGGGCGCCAACCAGGAACGGGAGCAAGGTCCGCTACCGGCGGGCCATGTCCCAAGAAGAGTCTGAGTCTGCCATCCTGATCTTTAGGGATAACCAGATCCAGGAGTCCCACGTGGAGGAGGACCTCGGCAGACTGACCCCCCCACAAGCTGCTGCTTCCGGCTGCCCCATGACACATTCCCATGGGGGTGACAAAGGGTGCTGCAGGCCACAGGTGTTCAGAGGTCACCCTGCAGCGTCGTTCCTTCCCCCTCTCTGCCCTTCCTTTCTACCTCTGCTCCTCTTGGTGTCTCTGCCCCCAGACTACTGTGACTTAAAAAGAGGAAAGAGGAGCAGTTTCACTTGCTCTACAAACACTGACCAAACATGCAAGGAAGGAGTTGTGTTGTCCCGGCGTTTTGAGGAACCCAAGGCCCTGCCCTGTGTCCCACTAGGTGGCAAGTTGGAAGGAGGCACAGGCACACAGATGGTGGGTGGGTTCCCTCACTGTGGTGCCACTCAGAACGCCTTCAGGCTAAAAGTGACTCATTGACCAATCTGGAACCAGAATGCTTTCTTACTGGAAATGGCTTTTGCAACTGTTGATTTCTGAAGCTGGTTTGATGAACTGTGAGTGTTACTGGATTGGGGTATGTGTTTATTTCCTACAAAGTACTTATGGGGCTAATGGGCAAAACAGAGATTTTTAAGTCTTCTGTATGCTGTTTGACTTATGTTTTAAGTTACATTTT